CGTTATCTCTTTCAAGGACAACTTATGTTATACATAAATTTAAAATCTGAACAGTGTAAGTAGAATTTTAAAACTGTCATACCACTAAACATCAACAGGTTGATGTAACATCTGTTCTTCAATTTTTCACCTAAGTTGTTATGGTAACCAAAATACGTGGAGTATTTGTTTCCTAAATTTAACTGATTATTTCAAGTAAATAAAATTATAGCATATCATCTTATTAACTACAAATATTATTAATACTATAACCCTATACTTATCCTTTTTAAATGCTAGTGAATTATATTTAATAGGCATTTCTACATGCTTTATACACATTAAAAGAATAGCAAGGGTATATATTTTTTCTAACTTGGGGGCATTTTCTTGATTTAAAAGCAAAACAACAAAACAAATAACTAGTCTATTTTCTAAACAATATACTAAAGTACTTCAAAATTATACGATTTTAGTGCTTTGTAGGAGCTATAGATCACATTCTTTCCAAACATAAGTCAATCCTATTACTCTTCTAGTCCCCTGCTCAAAATTTTCCACTGGTGGCCCATCTGTGAGCAAAATCCAAAGTCCTTACGTTGACTACAAATCCCACGTTCTCCCTTGCTTCCCCATCCAGCCACACTGGTTTCCCTGTAGTCTCTCATATACACCAGGCTCACTCCTGCCCTAGGGCCTTGTACTTACTATTTCTTCTGCCTGGAAAGCTGTTGTCCTAGGAAGCCACATGGCTCATTCTTTCATTTATTTCAATTCTTCATTCAAATACCATCTTCTCAGTGAAACCTTCTCGGACTGGCCCCATTTCAAAGAGCTATTCCAACACCTCTACCACCTGTGCTCACATGTTATCTATCTGCTATGGACTGAATTGTTCCCCCTGTCCCAAATTCTTACGTTGAACCCCTAACCTCTAATGTTATGACTGTATTTAGAGATGGGGTTTTGGGAGGTAATTAAGTTTAGATGAGGTCATGAGGGGGGAGCCCTCATGAAGGGATTAACATGCCCTTACAAGAAAAGAAAGAGACATCAACACGCTATCTCCCCCCACGTAAGGACACAATGTTCTAGAAGGCAGCCATCTGCAAACCACAAAGACCTTACCAGAAACTGAATCTGCAAGAAAATTATTGGATTTCTGGCCTTCAGAATTATGAAAAAATTAATTGCTGTTGCTTAAGCCAGAACCTTGATCTTGGTCTTCTAGCCTTCAGAACTGTGAAGAAATTAATTTCTGTTGCTTAAGCCACCCAATCTCTGGTTGTGGCAGCCCAAGCTAATACTTTGTTCTTCTTGTATTTTCCTCATCAACAGTCATTACTAATATGCAATGTATCAATAATTTGTTCTATACATTACTAATTAATGCTATTTATTGTCTGTCTCCCTTTACGGCATAATAAGCTTCATTAGGGCAAGGTTTTTTGTCTATTATGTTCATAACATCTATAGTCTGACATAACATGTAATCAATAAATATTTGTTGAATGCACAAAATACAGATTTTAAAATAAATGTTGATATGCTATGGTAGAAAATAATACATTTCTTTAATGATATTCAAGGAATCCAATAAGAAATATATAATCTTTAATAAGCTAAATTTTTTTAGAAAATAAAAATTATCAAGATTTGGGTTCTCACAGAACCAAATCATCTTACTTTCCTGATTTTCCTGATCTTTTCTCCTCTTATAAATCTGATTTACCAGAAGCTCAATCTTTATCCTACTAATTATATAGGGAAACTACCTTATACAGTTAACTCTGTCCAGCATCTTTTTCTCTGCTTACTTCCTAAGTGAACTCATCCATTCTGCTTCAACTATAACATTTTCAAGTAGCTCTGAAATCCTCATCTCTTGCCTAGATTTCTCTGTCCTATGGCGCGGTATTCCCAACTATCTTTGAGATGTGTATCACTTCAGGGTTACTGTCAGCAATGTCAAAGACAGAAGCTTTAGATAGAATACAACACTGCACTCACTTAAGTAAAAAACAAAACAAAACAAAAAAACAACAAAAAACAAAAAACCAACGACAACAAAAAGTAGTCTTTATTAGTAGTAGTCTATAGATTCACATAATTCTATATACTGCCTGAGGAACTGCTTTCTTTCATTACAGAAATTAGACTTACAATGTTAGGGAATTCCAATCTCTGAATTATGACTATGTATTCTAATTAACAATATACTCTTGTACTATCAGTTTCACTTCAACCACTGAATTATTCCCAATATTGTAGTAGAGTTTTATTACTTTCAAATTGAATTTAATCACTTGGGGGGAAAATATAAGAAATTATATGAGGTTTTCAAATTAAGTTTCTAAACTAGGATAGTTTATTTTTAGAAGAAAAAAATCTCCCAGTGTTTTTCATCATTGGTTGCCAAATAACATTTGCTTCTCCAATCACTTTTCCTCATACTTACTAATCAATTCGTTATTATTTTAAAGACTTCTCTAACACATATTTCTTACAGACTTTAGGACAGGCTTCAGATGAAAGTTGGCTAGAAGCCATTATTCACTTTACGCAAACCATATACTTTTAGAATTTCACTGAGCAAATATGCAAAGAAAAGAAATTCTGAAAGAAAACCATGTGGTTATTATGACTTTAGAGACAGGCTAAACCTCCCAAGGTGGTACAAGGTCCCGGGTCTCAGGGAGGACCAAGAAGATTCTCAGAGCCAGTGACCTTCAGCACTCATAAATTACTAATGAAACACATACGATACCAGTTCTATGTTGCCCTATTTTAAGATGAAGGATTATTATACATTATATTAAGTAAATTTCACTTATGTTTCTTTCTCAAAATTTTTCCTTCAAATTAGGAGTATAAACGAAGTATATTTAGAAAGGTCTGGCTATCCCCCAGTACTCATGAAAGGTACAAAGTATGCCCAAACTGTCAACAAATTCTCTCATTATTCCTTCCAAGATATATCCAAAATCTCACCACTTCTCTTTCTCTCTTCCACCTCCATAACATTTTACTAGGATTATTGCAAGAGCCTACTAGTCTCTCTGATTCTGCCCTTGCTCCACTACAGTCCACTCTCCACACAGGAGCCCCAGTGATCACTGTAAAACACAGGAGTCAGGTCAACTCTGCTGAAAACCCTCTACTAGCTTTCCCCCATCACTTGACATAAAAGTCGAGTCCTTACAGTGATTTAGATGACCTTCCATCGTCTGTTCCCCTTAAGTTTCAAGCATTCTCCCACCTTTCCTTACTCCATTCAGCCCCAATGTCTTCCTTGCTATTCCATGAACACACCCAACATGCTCTCACTTTAGGTCCTGTGCACTTGCTGCTTCCTCAGCTTAAAAGACTCCCTCCAAATATACATAAGATTGGCTCCCTGGCTTCTTTCCAGGTTCTATTCAGTGAGGCCCTTCTTAACACATGAACAGAAACTAGCAGACTTTCTCCACTGCCCAGCCCTATTACCTTTGACATGCTTTGTATTTCCCATCGTGCTTATCACCACTTGACATACCACACATGTTTGTTTATTATTTGCATTACCTAAGTAAAATGCTAGCTCCAAGAAAGCAAAGCCTGTTTTGTTTTGTCCTTGCTCATTCCCAGCAATAGAACACAGAATAGGAGATTAGTAATGAGTATCAACAAATACTGATCACATAAATTAATGAATGAATCTTGTGATTGTTTCTTATCTTAAACTAGATGCAGGCTACTATTCCTTCAAATTGCATACCACTACATTTCAACTTTTCTTATGAGAGATCATATTCCCTGTTGTATTAAGAATCAATTTGTACTTAGCATGAAAGTATCAAGAACCATATCTTACTTCTATTGTTTTTAAATTTTTTTTTTCAACGTTTTTTATTTATTTTTGGGACGGAGAGAGACAGAGCATGAATGGGGTAGGGGCAGAGAGAGAGGGAGACACAGAATCGGAAACAGGCTCCAGGCTCCGAGCCATCAGCCCAGAGCCTGACGTGGGGCTCGAACTCACGGACCGCGAGATCGTGACCTGGCTGAAGTCGGACGCTTAACCGACTGCGCCACCCAGGCGCCCCCTTACTTCTATTGTATCCCCTGTACCTACTAGCATCATTTCTTTCTTATAATATGTACTCAATATTTCTTAAGTTGAATTTGAAGTTAAACTGAAAGATACTTTTATAATACACCTGAATCTGTTGTTATCCTTTAGCAAACAGCCCAATACCAATTCTTAAATTCTAAAGAATATTCCGCTTTTTACAACCAACCAGCAAATTTAATGCAAGTGAAACAGAAAAGAGATGTAGCCTGGCTTAGAGATGTCTGACATGCATTCTGCACTGATGTGATAACTAAAGAACGCATTTTGAATGATGTTAAGTCAAAAGATTTTCAGAAGATAGTAAAAACTACTTGAGGGAAAGCTGCTTCAACTTGATCCATTCAGGAGTTCTACCCAAAAACAAACAAACAAAAAAACCAAAACACTAAACAGCACATACTTTACCTTTATAAACAAATAACTAAAAAGAAACTAATACAAAGAGATTTTTTTTTCTAAGAAAACAAATTCTAGCATCAATATCGAGATAACCAACTGACCTAAAAATTTTGTACAAGTCATTAATGGGTATTTTTAACCAGCTTTTTAACAAAGGTTCAATCACCAAGAAGATACTAAATTAGGATCAATATGTTGAAAAAAAATACGCCTTGAGTTTTAGACTTTAGCCAAATCAGTTAAGTTTAAAAGGTATGAAACTAAAAAGGTTAAACCATCCACCAACAAGAAAAGTCAACTCTACTCCAATTTATTCCCCAAGACTTGTGGACAAACAGGGTTTCACTTTTCAGTCAAGTCTTTTGAAAACTGATAACCCATGATTACAGTAATCAAAATAATTGATGGGCTAGACTAGAACTCTCCTTTTCTAAACATAAGAAGTAACAACATTAAAAATAAGTGATACAGTAAAAATAAAGTCTTGCCTTATACAGTCTTAGCTCACCTGAGGTATGAGTCTATCCAAGTGCTCAGCTCGATTTCCATGAGAAGGGTGTGTGGATAACCATTCTGGCAACTTGGGACGACCCTGGAGGCTATCTGCAAATTCCATCTGCTGCCAAAACACTGAACCGGCTCTGACGTCCACACAAGCCTAGAACAAGAAGTAATGACAGAAAAAAATGAACGTACTTATGAGAACATTTTTAAAAGTTTATCTTTACGTCATTACATTTTAAAGGCATTTTCTACCATTATTTGCACGTGATATATCTGATCAAGGACTGGTATCCAAAATATAAAAACTCAACATCCAAAAAACAAATAAGCCAATTAAAAAAATGGGCAGAAGACATGAAGAGAGATTTTTCCAAAGAAGACGTCCAGATAGCCAACAGAACATGAAAAGATGCCTATCGTCACTTATCATCAGGGAAATACAAGTCAAAACAACAAGATATCACTTCACACCTGTCAGAATGGCTAAAATCAAAACCATAAGAAACAACAGGTGTTGGTGAAGATGTGGAGAACAAGGAACACTGGCGCCCCGTTAGTGGGACTGCAAACTGGTGTCACAGTGAGAAACAGTATGGAGACTCCTCAGAAAGTTACAAACAGAACTACTTTATGATCCAGCAATGCACCATTGGGTATTTACCCAAAAGATACAAGAGCATGAATTCGAAAGGATATTTGCACCCCTGTGTTTACAGCAGCATTATTTACAATAGTCAAAATATGGAAGCAGCTCATGTGTCCATCAATTGATGAATGGATAAAGAAGATGTGGCATATATATACAAAGAAACATTATTCAGTCATGAAAAAGAACGAAATCTTGCAATTTGCGATTACATGGATGGAACTTGAAGACATAATGCTAAGTGTAGTAAGTCAGTCAGAGGAAGATGAATACCATATGATTTCACTCATATGTGGAATTTAAGAAACAAAACAGGGGCGCCTGGGTGGCTCAGTCAGTTAACTGTCCAACTCTTGATTTTGACTCAGGTCACGACCTCACAGTTTGTGGGTTCAAGCCCCAGGTCAAGCTCTGTGTTGACAGCGTGAGGCCTGCTTAGGATTCTCTCTCTGCCCATCTCTCACTTGTGATCCCTCAAAATAAATAAACACTGAAGAAAAAAAAAAGAAACAAAACGAACAAGCAAAGGAAAAAACTTGACACAAAACAAGAAACAGATTCTTAATTATACAAGACACACTCATACTAGAGGGGAGAAAGTGGAGGGATGGGTTAAACAGGTGATGGGGATGAAGGAATGCACTTGTGATGAGCACCAGGTGTTGTATCGAAGTGTTGAATCACTGTATTTATACACTTGAAACCAATATAACACTGTATGTAAACTGGAATTAAAAACTTAAAAAAAGCAAAAAAAAGTAGCAAGAAACAAAGAAAAAGGCATAGGAATGAAAAAAAAATTTCTATCAGTATTTTAATAAAAGAATAATATACTCATTACTTTTAAAAAAGCTCATAAAGGGGCGCCTGGGTGGCGCAGTCGGTTGAGCGTCCGACTTCAGCCAGGTCACGATCTCGCGGTCCGTGAGTTCGAGCCCCGCGTCGGGCTCTGGGCTGATGGCTCAGAGCCTGGAGCCTGTTTCCGATTCTGTGTCTCCCTCTCTCTCTGCCCCTCCCCCGTTCATGCTCTGTCTCTCTCTGTCCCAAAAATAAATAAACGTTGAAAAAAAAAATTAAAAAAAAAATAAAAATAAAAAAGCTCATAAAATATAGTATTAGAGAAGCCCAGAAGAGAATGCCCACCCTCTCTCTCCATGTATAACATTGACAGTACACTCATTCCAAAAGATAACCCATTATTGTCAGTATGACATATATTAAGAACACGTATTGAGGGCAAAAATCTTCCACGCAAATTAGCATTTTGTTTTCATAAAAGAAATGTTTTAAAATCTAATCCATCATGCCAAGATGGGAGAACGACATGGAAGATTTTTTGCGTCTCTACTCCATGAAATGTAGCCAGATCAACACTAAACCATCTTACACACCTAGAAAACTGGCCTGAGGATTAACACAACAATTTGCATAACTTGAACCACAGAACTAGGCGGGTACACAGCACGGACAGGTGAACCAGAGGAGAGAAGCCACAGAGGGCAGGGAGCTGTTTTTAGGTGCAGAGAGAGGACAGAGATGGGGGGGGGTTGGGGGAGAGTATGGGAAAAGCACCCCCCACCAAAAGGAGCTGGAGAGAAAGTGGAAAAGTGGAAACAGCCACAGGGACTGAACAAAAAAGGGAGAAAGGAGAAAATAGAGGGTTTAAATTCCATTAAGACTCTATAAAGAAGGGGAGCACAGTCTGAAACTCTGCAGCTCAATACCTGGCAGTGTTCTTGTGGGAAGGATGAATCCCCAAGAGTGGAGACCAAGGTCCAAGGGGTCCATGGGACACATGGGGAGTGGCAGTTCCCCTGCTGGGGACATTTGGTAGAGGCTGTGCAACCACCCCACAGGCAAAGGTACCAGCAGACCCCGGACAACAACCACATTCACTGGTGTTGGAACAAGGATGTTAAGAGCGAAGCCTGGAGCCAGATGTGTGTTGTGATTTGCCATAAACCCTGAAACACTGCTGCTAAAAGATCATGCAAACATTTTCTGAGGCGGGCTGGCACCCAGGGGCAGTCTCTGGGCATCAGCAGCAGCACAGTCTTGCAAACATTCCTGGGGGCGGTCCACACCCAGCCATTGCTCAGCGAGACCCTCCGCCAGAGGATCTGAGTGGGTCAAAGCCACAGTCCCTCAGAAGTGAGGTGTTGGGAAACACAGCCACATCTGAGATAAAACTCAGGATGGAGGTGCTACCTGGCAGCCTGACAGCTTAGTCACAGACAGTGCAGAAGTGGGGAGGGGACACAAGCCGGAGACTAAGGAGGGGTGCTTGACTGCCAGTTGTGGAGAGCACAGAGTTCTGATACTAGAGACTGGGTAGCAGGGTGACACCATTTTCACCCCTCCCATGCATGCACATACATGCCTAAACACACCACAGCAATCCACCCCAGTAAGCTAAGCAGCACCATCTAGTGGAGAACTGAGCCATTACACTAAACCCCGCCCAACTGGGCCAACAGTGCTCTTGACAAACACAAGACTCTCAACCTGCTTAGTTTACAGACTATAAACTGCTTCATAGCTTGACTTCTATGGGAAACCAGTTGTATCATTCTTAATTCTGTTTGCTGGTCCTTTTATTCAATCTTTTTCTCTTTTCTTATTTTTGAATACAGAAAGAAATAATTTATTTTTATTTTCCATTATGATTAAAAAGATTTTTCTTTCATTTTTTTCTACTATATTTTTTACTTTTTCATAAATTTTTAAAATTCTATTTTACTTTCATCATTTATTTTATTGTATTCATTTTTCAAATTTTCAAACGTTTTCCTTTTTCCTTTCTTTTTCTTTTGTCTTTGTTATCTTTTCTTATCTTTCCCTTTTTTCTCTAATCTGTCCAGCTTGTTTCAACAACCAGACCAAAAGACACTGAGGATCTAGCATCCTTTATTTGATTTCTTTGAACGTTTTTAATTTTTTAATTTTAAGGGTTTTTTTTTTCTTTTTTACTTTATTAATTCCTTTTTTTTTCCTTCAAAATGACAAAACAAAGGAATTTACCACAAAACAAAGAAAAGGAAGAAATGACAGCCAGGGACGTAATGAATACAGATATGAACAAGATGTCTGAACCAGAATTTAGAGTCACAATAATAAGAATACTAGCTAGGGTTGAGATAAGATTAGAATCCCTTTCTGCAGAGATAAAAGAAGTAAAGCTACTCAGGATGAAATAAAAAATGCTATAAATGAGCTTCAATCTCAAATGGATACCACAGGGGCAAGGATGGATCAGGCAGAGCAGCAAATCAGCAATACAGAGGAAACTAGGGAGAAAATGAGGCAGAAAAAAAGAGGGAGACTAAGGCAAAAGAGCATGATATAGAAATTAGAGAACTCAGTGACTCATCAAAAAGGAGTAATATCAGAATCATAGAGGTCCCAGAAAATGAGAAGAGGGGAAAAGGGGTAGAAAACTTATGTCAGCAAATCAAAGTGGAAAACTTATCTAACCAGGGGAAAGACACAGATATCAAAATCCAGGAAGCAAAGAGGACTCCCATTAGATTCAACAAAAACCGACCATCAACAAGGCATATCATAATCAAATTCACAAAACACTGAGGCAAGGAAAGAATCATGAAAGTAGCAAGGGAAAAAAAGTCCTTAACCTACAAGGGAAGACAGATCAGGTTTGCAGCAGACCTATCCACAGAAACTTGGCAGGCCAGAAAGGAGTGGCAGGATATATTCAATGTGCTGAATTGGAAAAATATTCAGCCAAGAATTCTTTACCCAGCAAGGCTGTCATTCAAAATAGAAGGAGAGATGAAAAGTTTCCTAGACAAACAAAAATTAAAGGAGTTTGTGACCACTAAACCAGCCCTGCAAGAAATTTTAAGGGGGACTCTCTGAGGGGAGAAAAGACAGAAAAAACAAAAATAAAAACAACAAAACAAAACAAAAAAACCACAGTCCAAAAGCAAAACAAATTAGAAAAGACCAGAGAACACCACCAGAAACTCCAACTCTATAGGCAACATAATGGCAATAAATTCATATCTTTCAGTACTCACTCTAAACGTCAATGGACTAAATGCTCCAATCAAAAGACACAGGGTAACAGAATGGATAAGAAAACAAGTTCCATCTATACGCTGTGTACAAGACACCCACTTTAGACCTAAAGGCAACTTCAGATTGAAAGTAAGGGGATGGAGAACCATCTATCATGCTAATGGTCAACAAAAGAAAGCCGTAGTACCCACACTTGTATCAGAAACCTAGATTTTAAAATAAAGACTGTAAGAAGAGATGAAAAAGGGCATTATATCATAATTAAGGGGTCTATCCGCCAAGAAGACCCAACAATTGTAAACATTTATGCTCCAAATGTGGTGGCACCCAAATATATAAATCAATTAATCACAAACATAAATAAATGCGTTGATAATAATACCATAATAGTAGGGGACTTCAATACCCCACTTGCAGAAATGGACAGATCATCTAAACAAAAAGTCAACAAGAAAACAATGGCTTTGAAT